TAGGGAGACCAAACTAGCAGCTTATAAAATCTCGATATCAACCCTTCGCAAGCATGTATAGGTAAGGTAAATACTTGCATCGTTGCATTGGTGGTTAAAATGAAGCTTCAGTTTAGCAAGAGGTTTTGCACAAATTAGCCAAAAAGACAGTGGTGCAGGGTGTACAATATATATCGTCTGCGATAATATCATAATTGTTGTTTTAACGACGCCAAAAAACAAACAAAACACTCCTACAGAGTGCCATGAAGTCTAGTAGATAGACTAGTGCGCGCACGCATTTAGAGTGCGTTCTTTCACTGCGTGATTTAGTCTGTTAAAATGCATTTAGATTGATCACAAAATTGAAGATACAGGGGCAGAAAATTTATATATTTATATCGTTTCATATAGTAGATCGATATCACACGAAGAGTGCCGTTTTTTTCTCCAAAAATCTGCATGATTACATATAGATTTTTTTTACAACAGTTCAATAAACAAGTTAATTAAGAGACTTGCGTTTTAGACACCATATTGCCTGTTTTTGCTCTATTTCGAGCCACCATAGCACAGTTTTGCGTCTCTGAGCAATGATGGTGTTTCGTTCCTGAATGAATCAACCGTTTAAATGATTCGATTCAATCGCAATGACTCACTTATTAACAGTGACTTGCTGACACCTACTGGTGGTTTTCATTTCACATTTAAAGTATCTTTTGATTTTTTTTTTTAATGTAATTTAAAATGAGTATTCAACATTTTATGTCTTATATATCAAAACATTATTTCTGCATTTGTAGCTGCAGGTTAAATGCATTCATGTCCTGCATGAAACAGTGTGTAATCTAAATGCCACTTTAGATGAAGCTTCTGTGTTTCCTCTGCATTGCAAAGATGAATTTTGTTGATACTGATTTAATTTGCCTGGTAACAGCCCAAATGTCTTATTATTCTAAATAACTGATTCCTTTAATTAAAAACAACTAGTTTCAGATTTATAGGCCTATCCCAGGGGTGTCAAACTCAGTTCCTGGAGGGCCGCAGCCCTGCAGTGTTTAGTTCCAACCCTGCTCCAACACACATACCATGTAGTTTTCAAATAAGCCTAAATGATTAGATTAGCTGGATCAGATGTGTTTAATTAGGGTTATATCTAAACTGTGCAGGACTGTGGCCCTCCAGGAAATGAGTTTGACACCCTTGGTCTATCCCATTTTTGCCTGCCTCCCACTGTTAAAATGTAGCAAAGTAATTTTTACTCTGAGTAAATTTTAAATTAGCTACTTTTTACTTTTACCTGAGTAGATTTTAGACTGGTACTTTTAGTTGTACTTAAGTAAAATTTCATTAATGTAATGGTACTTTTACTTGAGTAGAATATTTTCGTACTCTTTCCACCTCTGTTAAAGACACACCAATCTCCATAAAGCCCACCAATCTATATTTGTAATTAACAATGCAGCAGCGCCGCATCTAGTGGCTTCAACTGGATAGGTTAACAAAAAACATTAAAATGCAATGACATTTACATCGTCATCGCATCTCGTGCACCACTGATAAGGCTGCCTCCTTAACGCACACCTATTCGAATGCAACATTTTTGCATTCGAATGTGGATTTTTATTTTAAATTCGACGAATATTCGAAATTCTATTTTTTTTGACAGCCCTAGTCCTGAGTCCTCTAAAGACAAATTGGGTACTTAAAAATATTATAAAAAGCAATGTTAATATTAAAATATATAATGATTTTTTTTTTTTTTTAATAATTACATGTAAATCATTTATTCAAATAGAACACATAATAATGTTGAATGGTCATCAACACAAAATACACTTGCAATTTATTACCATTTAAAAAAACAGTTTTTTATTTGAATATATTTTAAAATCAAATTTTCTTCCTGTGATGGCAAGGTCATTGCTCCAGTCTTCAGTTTCACAAAATCCTTCAGAAATTATTCTAATATGCTGATTTTGTGCTCAGTTATTATAAATTATTATAAATAATTTTTTAACAGCAACATTTCAGCTAATTGACTGCATATAATCTTTATTTAAATTATGTTTTGCATTCTAAATTTTTAAATGATGTTTGCTCCACTAACTTAAATTATTAAATTAATTTGTCTCAACATTTGTCATGCCCACAGAGGCTGCTTTCTTATTTGTACACTTTTATTTGCAGGTATGAGACAGTGCTTGAGTCACCACTTATAGTACTCTGCCAAATAGAGTCTCTTGAGAAACTGGAAGATACACAGTTGAGATTTTTGAAATATAATTTTGCTGCATTACAAAGACAGATCCTCTTTATGGACAGTTTGTGGTCATGGAAATTACTGGAAAGACATTCTCTATGCAGGAGCATCGATTTTCAGTGTAATTCATAATCCCTTGTATGAGTTTAAACTCTGCTAAATATAGTTTAAATGCCAACAGTGACTAATGATAAGTCTACACAATTGCAGCTAATATGAGGATTTATAAGGGTTTAGTGCAATAAGTTACTGTCATTCTCAAATCCTTCCAGAGTTTGAAGGCAGCTAAGCTGAAAAGAGTTTCATTTACATATAAAAGAAGGCTGTGTCCAATGTGTTTAGAGTGTGTATATTTAATAAACAAATCGGAATATTAAACAGCAGCGAATATTCATGTGCTTCATCTTTCCTGCTGCTATGATGTGTGTTGAGAGCATTTGGGTGTCCAAACCTGTTTATGGAAATACTGTAATTTCATTAGCTTACTAAGGGTGGTACAGAGGTCACCACTGACTTAATGGAAAACAATATACTACTCTGGAGTCTTCAAGGAAATGGTCCATATGGAACAACTCAAAAAGGCCTCAGTTCAGAAATCTATACTGTTGTTTGTCTAACTTTTTTATTTTATTGTATTTAATATGCCTAACATTATATTTTATTTTTGTTTTGTCGAATATAATGTAAACCAACAAAAGTAAAAAGGGAAAACCACATACTGGAATAACTGGAAGAGTTAAATAAATTTGGCCATTAAGTTTACCTAAATCAGAAATATATATATATACTTTTTTTAAAGACAACATAAATGTACATGTTTATCCATAAAGTGCTTTACAGATTATTTCTAAAGTTGACTAGGCTGTTATGAAAAGACAAAAAATCAATATCCCTGAAAAGAAGTAAACCTCTGTCTACACATATTACATTTAATGCATCTTAAAACCTTAGTGAACAGAATCATGCCTAAAATATGATTCATTATCCTTTGATCACTGACAATGAAAGCACAGTGCAAGGAGTTGTATTGATCCTTTCTACTGATCCTCACCCTTCATCAGCAGCCAGAATTGAACAGCTTCTGTTTGAATAACTGCCTTTAATCTCCTAAATCTCTACGCATGATTGCATCCTTTATTTACCTTGCCTGACCTGGCCTATATAGGAAAGTGTATTGCTTAAAGGGGTCATATGATGTTGCTAAAAAGAACATTATGTTGTGTATTTGGTGTAATGAAATGTGTTTATGCGGTTTAAGGTTCAAAAAACACATTATTTTCCACATACTGTACATTATTGTTTCTCCTCTATGCCCCGCCTTTCTGAAACGCGTCGATTTTTACAAAGCTCATTGGTCTGAAAAGCGAGGTGTGCTGTGATTGGCCAGCTATCCAGTGCGTTGTGATTGGCCGAATACCTCAAGTGTGTGACGGAAATGTTACGCCGCTTATCATACTGTGATGCCGTGTCCCGGCGCGACGAGACATAACCAATAAAACCCATTATAAACGAGGCCGCTGGAAGAAGCCGCCGCCCCTCGCGCCCCGGACTGGAGAGGGGAGCGCGTGCGGCCGCCGGACTCCGCCCCTTACCTGGACCCTTCCTGATCACTGCCCTTCCCTTCACGAACCCCGCAGCACGACGAGGACACCATATCCCCTGTTTATTTTGGACACTTGATTCCCTTTTTTCTGGACGCACTCCAAAGAGAAAGGAAAAATTTTAATTGCATCATATGACCCCTTTAAAATTGTAAACCTAGTTTTCAGCTCACCAGTCAATCAGAAACGCTCTCAGTCTGAAAATCATGTTCATCACGAATCTCTCAAAAAATCATGCCCATCTCAAAAAATGTCCTATTACCAATCAGCAGACATTGGACAGACATTAAGGACATAAAGAGATGTAAAGTAATAAGGATTATAATAGTTCAGATAGGTGAGCTCACCAGTGATATTGTTGCTGTTGCGGGCCTCTTGTCTTTGAGTCTGATTGCATTGCTCTCGAGCTTTCATATGCTCAGCTACCACAGCACATGCTGGATGAATCGTTTCCACCTGATGATGATTAAAAAAAAAAATGTGTGAGGCAAATGAAAGTACAAACTGCAGTACATATTAAGAAAACTGCATAAACATGCTGAGCCCATTAGAGAAAGCTGGTTAAAGAGCAGTTTCACAATTTCAGTCACTTGCCATTAGGTCAAATCGACAAAAAGGAAAAATTCTAACATTTCAAATATTATTTGCATTCATTTAACTCCATTTGTGTTCCACAGAAGAAAGATCACATGGGTTTCGAAAAGACAAAAGGGTGCAGAGTATAGTTATTTTTGGGGGTAATCAGATTTGAAATACACTGTATGTCTATATAAAGGATCTAAATATTTATCAGACTGAGACTTAGAAACATCTTGTCAATAAACCCCAGCCACACAGCAAAATTTGTCTGAAAAATCTCATTATCTCCGAAGCAGCCATTGAACCAATTTGAGCCTCTCTTGCCATCATTTACTATAATTAAATGTATTACAGATAGAGAGAGAAATAAAGAGAGAATGAACGTATAACAAAATGTGTGGGATGCTCTCTCATCGACAACATAAAAAGGAAAAGTTGCTTCTGTTTCACCTCTTTGCTGCATAAAAAGACATGAAATGGCCGCCCACTTATTCCTGAGAGGAATGAGAGAGAGTCAGAGGTGGGTGAATGCTAATGATCCGATTAAGCCTGAGGTTACGGTGGAACGAGCAGTAGCAACAGATTCAGAAGTTCCTGAAACAGACCTACGTATCTCCAAAGGAAAACAGAGATGGTAAATCATAACAATACTAGAAAAAAGTGAATTGTTGTATTTAGTCTAGAGGGACGCCTCAGGGGTCTGTGTGTCATATCAATCATCCTCTACGTGTAAATCGAATCAACAGTATGATGTCAGCATGGAAATCAAGGATAAACGTTCCAGCTATGTTGACTATTATTCATCCTGTGGTGAAAGTAGTGTTTATGTTCCCTTCACTGAGCTAATAGGCAGAAATGGGTTGTTGTTGGGACACACGTTGATGCAGTCAGTGAAAACGCTAGTTTGAATGTGTTTACGGCTGTTTGTGTCTAGAAAAGTCTGCATGTTTGCTTGTCTATTTGCCTGTGAGTGCTTGCTAGTGCTTGTGTTCTCTCCAAATTCAAAACCAGAACAGATGGTTGCACTGTTGGTTTCGGTGACCTCTGTCGTCTACTGGCAGGTGAGATAAGAGAGGAGGGGATGTGGATGAGTTAGGGAAGTTTTCTCAGAGTTAGATGCAGTGCATTTGTACAACAAAGTTAAAGAATGTCTCACAAACATGTCTCACACATCTCAAACTGAATCTGAATCATCAGGGTGGACAACTGATTTGAAATACCTAGCAATCTTATAAAGCAGAAAAATTGTAATAATTTAAAAAAAATAAGTTGCTGTTAACCCACTATATTTTAAAGAAAGTTATTGGTTGACAATTTGAATGGAGCCACAGGACAAATACCCATGACTTCTATCTGAGCACCACCAAAACACTGCGATGGTAATATTTCCACCAATTATATAAGTTTCTCAGCCTCTAACCAATGTACAAAATACAAAATGTAAAATTTAGATTAGCACACATTGTCATTAATTACTCCAATAATGATTAAAAGTAAAAGTAATCAATTGCACTCCAGCAAAATATAAGTCATTAGAAGGCACACTTAAAGTAAATTTAAACTTGTCAAAGTGTCACAATTGGCACAATTAACATCAAACCTGGTGCCAGGTTTTGAGTGTGAATGAGATTTGTACGTTATGAAAGATAGGAACCTTTTTATGAAGAATAGTGACTTTTACAACGCTTTCATATGGCTTGGTAATTCTTGGAATGCAGTATGCACACTGCAGTACTGAATGCAGTATGTATAAGCATGTACTGTTTTAATAGAGCTTTTGTTATTTTGGATTCTTTTGTTTCACAGACGACAGAAAACAGGGTTTCAACCAACATAAGGGTAAGTAAATGATAAACCCTAAAGGTTTATACTTGGCTAATGATAAACCCATCAAAAAAAAGTTTATCCATAGGTAAACAAAATCGATTACTCTGAAATAAGCCGAAAACGACACCAGAGTGACATATTTGGTAGTAGTCTAGAGGATAAAAATATCTAGATTGAAATGTACTGGTCAGATGTAAACCAGAAAATTATTTTAAATTTATAAAATTTTAATTTTATTTTGTTTGCATTCTATAAAAATATAATTTGCATAAATAAAGAGCACTTGCTAAAACTGGATGTTTTGTAGTTAGGGAAAAAAGATGCAGGTTTGCTTTGAAACACCACAGTATAATGGCAAAACTATTTAGTCAATTCTCCTCTAAATTTATTTTAAAATGCGACTGGTTGTCTGTATACATGTGCAGTTAAATATTTGTATAAAAGAAGAAATAAAAAAAACACACGCACATCGTGTTTTCAAGTTTGCATTTTTGTGTGTGAGTATCTATAAAGAGTGTGAATATTTAAAAGATTGATGGAGATTTGTGTGGGAAAATTTGGCAAGACAAACTGCTGCGGTTATTAAAAAATGTTACGCCACTGAATGCATAATAACCTCTTTTTTTATGCTTACGTTGCATGTAATCAGCATATTAAACCCAACCAGATACAACCAATCTCCCTGGCATTTCCTCAAGCCAAGGCCAAGGCTCAACTTTGACATTGTAAAGGGTAAAGTGACGAGAAAATACCTTGATGCATCACTCCAACAAATTTCATTTGAGCCGCAGAACGTAAAATCGCACTCAGAATCCCCAGTGTGGGTGAGAGAGAAAAGAAGTGCAGAGAAAAAACAAACAAACAAGCAAACCAGTTGTATCCTACCAGAACTGGTGACACACCTGGGTAATAAAGCAATTGGTTTCAATTAAACAATCCACATGATTTGACTGCTCCCATGTGGCTCTAAAAGTCCCCAAAAGGTCAAGTCTCCTATCTCAGCAAAACCAATTACGGCACATCTGCTGATAAAGGGTGTTCAAGGCCGCTTCCATATGTCTCCCCACAAATTTGCACTATAAAATGTATCATTGGACCAAAAATGATAGAGCAGTGTGCTAAAAATCCCTTTATGCCTACATATCTAAATATCTCAAACAGAAAAGTAAATAGACACCTGTTGTCTTGAATCACTCTAACCTCTGCACTGGTGACCTGATCAGAAATATTGAATAAGTTGAGAGGGCAAATAAAGAAGAAAAATAATTGACCGATAAGAATCCTGTTATTGGTCAGATAGCATCCAGTGGCCCTGAGGAAGAGGCTCATGAACACATGGAATCATTATTATAGGAAATGAACTGCCATTCAGGAAAGGAAAGCCATATCATTAGAGGGAGTTCCAAACAACAACTACATTTAATTATAATATTGATTTGTGCTCTTCTTGTGGAGCCTGTGATCCTCAGAAGTTAGAATGATGATCCACCTTTGCATAACACAGAGGTTTGGTAAACCTGGATAGAGTTTGTTTTGGAGGCCAATTAGTCACATGAATTGCACGCTTAATTTTCATGACAGGAACCTAATTTTGCCACTCGGGTTAAAACATGACAGTGTTCCTGTACTGGAAATGGTCATCAAAACATCATTAAAAGGAGGCCAGGATCTCAGGTCAGTACTGCTAATCAACTCCAAATCTGTGACACATCAGCACATTAAATATAGCAGATACAGCACATTAAATATAGCACTGGACTGATCCCTAGAGGATACAGTGGCAATCAAATGGCATGGATTATACTTCATCTACATCATTAGCTCAGTATGATGCCTTTTAAAATAAATGTATCTTTTGTGCATATCTATTTATATTTACATTTACATTTATTCTGTCTCAAGGACATCTCACCTAAATCTGGAGGCAGTGCTATTACGAACACTTTTAACTTCTACGATATGCCACTCAAACAGCACACACTACATTTTCTAAGTCAGTGGTGCAGTGCGATGCCTTTTAAAATAGATATGTAAATCTCTCTCAAGAAAACATCACCTGGATCTGGAGGAAAATGTTAATACACTTGATGTCAGGGCCATTATAAAACACTTTTAACTTGAATGACGTGTCATTCCAACACCATACACCATTCTTTGTCTACATCAGTGGTACAGTGTGATGCTTTCTATAATAAATATGCAAATATCTCTCAAGGAAATCTCACCTGATTCTGGAAGCAAATGCTAATATTTGACATGAAATACTTTAGGAAAGTCAACTTAATCCTATGGTTTGTCACGCTATACCCAATTTAAAACAGTATTTGTTAATTATTTGAGCATAACTATAATTACATATTCTTATGATTTCATAAAAATTATATTTGTACTTTAAAAAATGAATTTGTTACAAAAAAGGTGAATAGAAATAGTGAAAATGTGGCCAAATTATACTGTGTGTCTAACAAATTTTAATATCGGGGACATACAGCCCACAGCAGAAACCACTGGCTACAATACATATGATCAATTTGCAAAGACTTTCAATCATTTTAATCAAAATCAACTGCACAAAACTAATTGCTATATATAGTGTATCAATAAAATATTACAATATGTTGTATAAATGTTAAGAGCATAGGATCACACATTGATAACTTACTGCCTTCCAGTTGCTCTGGTGAATCCCCAAACTCAGTAAAACGGCGACCAGTCTTACAGTTGACCAAGTTCTGAAGAGAAACATGATTAAGACTCCGGTATAATAGGAAAGAATGAAGTTTGTTAGTGTCTAACCAAATAACACAGGAGCCTCTGTTAGATCTCTTGATGTTTTCCAGAAGTCTCGATGTTTCCAACAATACTGCTCGCTGCCATTCGGCACAAATGCTCAGTCCTACATAATGTCTTATGGAGCTCGTAATAGCTGTAATTGAATCACGCGTCTCTTCCTCATAACAGACCGTCAACAACCTGTCGTTGTGAGTTCCCAGCACACACTGGGCAGAAGAGTGGCGCGCGTGGAGAAATGAAGTCACGGTACGCCTCCCCTTTACGCACGAAATGCCGCTGACTTCACTGATTAGATAAACTCTGATTTCCAGTCATACATTTATTAAAACTGTTTGGGGGAAAACAAACAAAACAGCCAAATTGCCCGCGAGTGAATGGGACGGAGGCTTGCAGTTACGTAAGTTCACGAACTCCTGAAATACAATTAAATGGAGTAAAATATGATTGTTTATATTATTAAATATATTTAATTTTGCAATTTACTAATGATTTTCCAGCTCCTATCCACTGATCATTTAGGCTATCGATGCTAAACATGCTACATCACATACATAACCTAAACTTTAACAATTTGTTTTGAGTACTTTGTAACTTTATATGAAAGGTGAAGGAATAGTATGTTACTGTTAATGTAGGCCTATGTTTTTTTAAACAATCACTAGGACCCAGTACAAAATTATTCCTGAGTTGCCCCCTTATGTAGCCTATAGACGTTAGAAATTGGATTAGAAGAATTAGAAAAAGCATCTTAACTATTGAGAAACGTTCTATCTGTGTGTAAAACTGCAAAAAAATAAAAATAAAATAAAAACATAAAAAAATAAATAATAGACTTCAACTGCCAGTTTAAGAATATGCTCATATTAGGTTTTTGAGTGTAATCACACACAATGTTTGAGGGAGGGCCATGAGATGTTTTAAAACACAGTAAGGAAAAAAAAAAAAGTTACATTGGGAGACCTGTATGAGAGGAATTTATTTGAATAATCTGTTCATTGACTTGTGATTCCAACAGCAGTGAAGAAAGCGGACATCGCATATGTACCACGCTGTAGGACAAAGGCTTAAAATATTCTGCCTTTTTGTGTAACCACTGAGTTCCTCTAAAAACTGCCCACTGATATTCCCAAGTCAAAAGATCGAAGGTTTTTTGTGCAGTCAAGCTGATGCACCGCAGGGTCTGGATTGAGTTCAAATTCATGAACAACAAGAGTGACCAAATTATAGCACAAATTCATAAGCTCGGGATGGAGCTTTTTTTTTTATAGTGAGGAGGAAAAAGAAAGATGAAAGAGACCTTCACCTCATCTCAGTAATTGGTCAGTTAATTATCTAATATCATATTGTGATAAATTATGCATGCCTCTCACAGTTTTATTCCTAATGATGGTCCCTATTGTCTTTTCCTCCATACCTAAATTATATTTCTTTTCAGTTATCAGGTCTTTTTATTGCCCTCATTTATCCTTTTTCAATTTCATTGTCTGAACTGTGATTGTCTTGTTTGAATGGTCATTTAGCATATTTAATGAACAGCAGGGACTATCACAAGTAAGCTTATGGTCACAATTGAGTATCTGTGTTGCTTAGGCTGTCCTTTAGGGAGAAGACAATTTGCACATGTATTTGATGTTTTAATCCAGCAAGGGAAAAATATTTTCTTAGCTGGACAGTAGACCCCTATTGCTTCCAGCTGCCTTGTCATGCTGAGAGAAAGAATGAGAGAATTAGTTTTAAGGGCAGATTGTCATAAACATTGATTTCCATGACAGCTGTCCTCAAAACAAACCTGATTTAAACATACTGACCAATAAGACTGTGTGGTAAACACCCATTGTGTTGTGTGATAAATACTCAGTTCTGTGACTAATGGCCAGATTCAATTTTCAGACTTTTCTATAAAAAAATAGAGCAATATTCTACAAAATCATCTCAGTTAGAAGAAGAGAAAAAAAAAATTCTGAGTCATCAGAAGATTCCATAAAAACACAAAAGTACTGACATTTCAAAAAATGTAAAGGAATGAAGAAATATGTTTTTTGGGGATGCTGAATTTGTTTTAATACATTGCAATATATAATCAGAGGTGGACAGTAATGAAGTACATTTACTTGAATAAAAAGGACATACTACCACAACAAAATGAACAATTCATCTAACTCTTGCATGCTCTTTAAAACATTTTCCTCTCTCCTTTGTCCTCCTCCTCCCCCTCCTTCTTTAACAGGTGACGACTTTGCCACATTCCTCTTTAATAAAATTAAAACCATCAGCACAAGTCCTCCACACCACAAACTGTCAAACATCTTACCAGAAAACATACACTTGCTCACATCCTTCTCTCCACTTTCTGAGGCAGAAGTCTCCAAACTCATCCTTTCCAATCATCTTGCTACTTGTCCGCTTGATCCAATTCCATCTAATCTCCTTCAAAGCCATTTTTTCTTCAGTTGTACCTGCACTCATTCACATCATTAACACATCTTTTCACACTGGTGTTTTCCCCTCAGCATTTAAACAAGCTCGTGTAGCCCCACTACTTAAGAAACCTACTCTTATCCCAGCACTTTTAGAGAATTACAGACCGGTATCCCTTCTTCCTTTCATTGCAAAAACACTTGAACGAGTTGTGTTCAACCAAGTTTCTGCTTTTCTCCCACACAAAAAACCTCCTGGAAAGTAACCAGTCTTGCTTCAGAAGTGGGTATTCAATCGAGACTGCCTTGCTCTCGGTTGTTGAAGCCCTAAGACTGGCAAGATCTGCTTCCAAATCTTCAATACTTGCTGGATTTGTCCGCTGCTTTTGACACGGTTAACCACCAGATCCTCCTGTCAACACTGCTGGCATAGGGCATCTCAGGAACCACACTCCAGTGGTTTGAGTCTTACCTCTCAGATAGGTCTTTCGAGGTATCTTGGAGGGGTGAGGTGCCCAAGTCACAACATCTAGCTACTGGGGTGCCTCAAGGCTCAGTTCCTGGACCACTTCTCTTCTCTGTCTACATGGCATCACTAGGTTCTGTCATTCAGAAACATGGCTTTTTATATCACTGCTATGCTGATGACACTCAACTCTCCCATTCATTCCATCCTGATGATCCAACAATAGCTGCTCGCATCTCAGCATGTCTAACAGACCTTCAACTCAACATTGCCAAGACAGAACTGCTTGTGGTTTCAGCAAACCCATCAATTCATCATAATTTCAACATCCAGCTAGGCATATCAGCCATAACTCCTTCAGGGACAGCCAGGAATCTTGGAGTTGTGATTGATGATCAGCTGAATTTCACAGACCACATTGCCAAAACTGCCCAGTCCTGAAGATTTTCTTTATACAACATTAGATTGTCGAAGAAGATCAGGCCCTTTGGAACATGCTACACAACTCCTTGTTTAAGCTCTTGTTCTGTCCAGGCTGAACTATTGCAATGCTCTCTTGGCAGATCTTCCAGCCAGTTCTATCAAACCTCTACAACTAATCCAGAATGCGGCTGCAAGATTAGTTTTTGACAAGCCGAAAAGAGTGCATGTCACACCTCTGTTCATCAATTTGCACTGGCTACCAATAGCTGCTCGCATAAAATTCAAGGCATTTATGTTTGCCTGCAAAACAACCACTGGCTCTGCACGCCTTTACCTAAATTCACTGCTTCAGACTTATGTGCCCTCCAGAAGCTTGCGTTCTGCAGGTGAATGGCACATTCATAGTGCCATCCCAAAGAGGCACAAAATACCTGACCTGCCCAACTCAATCCAAGCAGTCCTTAGCAATCTTCAAGAAATGGCTAAAATCACATCCTTCCATCTACACTTGCCCCTATAACACTTGCACTCTCTGTTTCTATTCTAACTACTTGTTTTCTTTTTATTAAAAAAAAAATTACCCCCTAACACTAGTGTTCTCTATTCTTTTTCTATCCTATCTACTTGTTTTCATTTTATGTATTATAAAAAATTACCCTCTAACACTAGAGTTCTGTGTATCAAGCAGTTAGAGAGCATTTTTGTAATTTGTGTTTTGATGTCAAACAAATCTTGCTGTATTTATTTATTTTTTGTTAAACCAGTGTTGCTGTTGTAAAGTTATACAGCTACAGTTGTGTTGCTGGGATTTAAAGAAGGTTTTTTCTCTCTCTCTCTCTTTTTCTTATCAGTCTGTATTTACAGCAATTTCACTGTCCACTCGGTTCAAATATATTTGTAAAATAAAAAATGTAACATTCTAAAAGCTCTTTATTCCAAAGATATAAGCTAGTCAGGTAAGGTATTGCAAATATTACATACAAAAATAATAGAACATGTATGTTGACATAAAAAAGGAAATTTACTTTTGTACTTATGTACTTTTAAAAGTAAGTACTTCTGTACTTTTACTTAAATAACAATCTGTCTTTACAACTTTCACTTGTAATGGAGTAATATTTGACCGGCAGTATCTCAAGTAATGAAGTTGTGTACTTTGTCCAATATCTTGTGCAATATCTTTGCTATCTTTGCTAAATAATTTTTTATTTATTTATTTTTAAATTGCAAACAAATTAATGAAGCAAATTCAAAATTATTTGTTACAATTTATTGTTAAAATAATGTAGATCAATTGATTGATCGATCGACGGACAGATGGTTAAAAATCTATTGTAAATATCTCCAAAATATTCTCACAAACCTTCTTGCTTACATGTTGCTAATTAATTATAGAGAGAAATAATGGGCCTGTTAAAGAACTTACAGAGAGGATCAAAGGTCAGATCAAAAGAAGAAAAAAGATCTGCCTTCAAACATGTCAGAAAAAGTGCAGTTTCCAACTTTAATGTCTTTGTACCCTAATTGCATTCAGCAAATGAAAAAATATAATAGGAATTAAATATTTAAAAATTGATCTGTAATAATTAGATAAACAGTAGTTTTACCTGGTGATTTGAATAATTATTAGTTAATATTAAACTTAATATTTGTGCAGTTTTGGTTAACCAACCCACAATAACTGACTGTGAATAAACATAAGTGCATTCACAGTATACTTAACAAATTGCTTGATTGTACCAGAAAAAAATATACAGTACCAAAAGTTAAATTACATTCAAAATGGGGACATTTTAACACAAAAACAATAGTATGTTTTAAGAAATGTTTAGTAGCAAGTACAAAAGGATTGTGATTTTATTGATTTATTCCTTGTTTAACCAAATAA